CTAATTTTTTACTTTTTATCTATCCAAAAATAGATAAAAACCGAAAAAAGAAAAGAATCAATTAAAAAAGGTCTATCTGCTTCTGAAGATTAAGTTCTTGAGGTACTGGCAATTTACGATTACTATGATTTCGACAAATAACTTGAATCTTGGATTCGCGCCCCAACCTATTTCAGCTATGGAAAACATCGAAATTTCAAAGGCACCCCGTTCACAACCTAGTTTGATTTCTCACCAAAATGCATGGTAAATAAATGAATATGTAAATCTCTCAAGTTCCATTACATAGTGTAAATACATAGAAGTCAGGTCTGATGAATTTCATGGCTTTAGTCAATTTAATGGAAACAAATTACAGAGCCGTGAAATATTTTCAGGGAACTTTATTCTTGGCTTATTTGAAAAGTTCTAAAAGATTGAAAACACCAAAAAAAAATTGAAATTGGTTAGGTTGAATTGAATGAATTGAATTAAGTTATAAATTATTCATCCTATTATTCATGGCCTTCACTGTTTGAGGATAAGGTGTAGAATGGGGTAATATTCTAGTGAAGATTAAAAAAGCATTCGACGACTGATTGGTCCTGAATGGAAATCGAGCGCCTATTCCATTATTCAAATGAATTGGTCAACACCGGGGGCTTCATCAGGTTTTGCATATTTTTCGTGACAAAACGTTTTTCTTCGATCATTCAATCGCGTACAGAGTAATCAGGGAATTATTCCGATGAAGTATAAACTTTCCCATTAATTGGAAAAATGCCAGGAAATTCCGGTTGCAATACAGATTTTTTAAGTACATTATATTAAAAAATTTTAACAAACATTCTCCAAGCTTTCTCACTACATAGGTAGAAACAGTGGTACTTCCCGACTCAATAATACTCAAAAGTTATACTGTAATAATACTCAATAAATAATAATACTAAATAATACTCAATACACAAAAGTTTCAAACAAATTAAAATACGCCAAGAAAATGATTTTTTCCGAGAATCACCATGGGAAACAACAATTCAACTGTGAGGAGATGATAGTAATACATAAATTTTGGCCCAGTTCATCATACTTGTCTACTTACTGAGTGTTTCAAAGTAACCTTGTCTTTCCGCGATAGAAATGAAATAGTCAGGGTTCTGCTACATAAATGGATAAGACGGGGTTAATAGAATCGAGACTCTATTCGAGGCTTTCGATGCTAAACGGAACAGCTCAGAACAATTACCAGTAATCAATCAGAATTTGCTTGAAGTAATGGCAATGAAGAGACAAACACGCAAACGGAACGCTGGCATGAGAGAAATTGATCTGTTTAAAAACTGAAATCGATTACTTGAAATCGTTAAGCTTGCAAACAAATTTTCTGGTTACTGGTAAATGTAGTTGAATATAATTAGGAAGTTCTGAAACTTGTTCTTCGACCCCCATGACATGTTTTTAATTAGTTTGCGATGATGGGCATCAGAAAAGCTCGGAAACAAGCTCTCTGTCATTTGAAGCCAATATCAATGAAACATGATCACCTAGAGGTACAAACGGCAGGTTCCATTAATTAGATGGGAATCGATTAGTCAAAGACATGACATCAAAAATGCCTTTGTGTTTTGTAATTCTAGTGACCATGTGTCATTGAAATTGGCTCTTCATATCGGATTTACTAGGAAACTCAATAGATTCCTGGAAATAGCTATTCCATCATGGGTTCTGTAGCATAGCAGTAACTCTCAGTACGTACGATAACTGGATTCAGTAATGCTAACTTTTTAATTACTTGATACCAAGAAATTGTTTCCTGAACTACAGTGACACTACTTCTGCATAATAATTACATATTTCTCCGAACAGAGTAGATAAGGAGGGGGGGGGGGGG